GTGGGGCTACCGTATCTTGCTGGTGGCCTGGGAGCCGGCGTACCGATTGAGGGACGAGGTCCAGGAGTCATTTGAGTTCGGCGCACAGGGGAATCCGGCCTTGGAAGAGATGTTCTCGGTTGTCGTTTGGGCCCGGGGCTGGGTGCTCTGGCGCCAGGTCCGACGGAGGCGCTGAACTTGGGTAGGCCTGGCGGCGTATAGTTTACTCCGTTGGCTCGTCCATTGGTGCTTGCAGTTGGGGTCATCGGGAATGAGTTGTTGGAAGATCCTCGACGAGACGCTTTTACTACCGGAACAAATATGCCTGCGCCTGGGGTTGAAGTGGTGAAATAAGATATTCTATTGTAGTATCAACAAGTTAGCGCTGCCACTTTGGAGGCATGGTTAAGAACGAGCAATTGTAGGTAAAGCATACCCGTCCACATCGCCGTTGTTCTTGCCCCTCGCAGCAAAGTCCTGGTGAAGTTCGACGCCAGCAAAGGTGCCTTTTTTCCCCTGAACGGTGCCGACAAAGCGAACAGTACCGTACATGCCACCGGGAACGTCGACAGTATCTCCAACGAGGAGATCTTCAGCCGATTGGCGGCCGGGGGTCGCTGGGACCATGGCTGACGAGGAGTCGCTCAATACAGTGTCGAGGGCGTAACTCTCGCTGACATCGGGTATGCTGGCCAGCGAACTAGGGGTAAGGGCAGCGAGCGAAGCCTTTCGCGATAAGCCTAGGCTCGAAGGCAGCAACTTGGACTGCGCAGTAAATAAAGTATTCAAATTGGGGGTCGAGGCAAACGACGAGGGACCACGTAGTCGCGATAAGGATGGTCTTGAGCGCAAGGCTCTGGTCGACGTGGCTGTGGCGGTTGTGGTTGTGGTGGTGGTGGTAGAAGCCATCGCGAAAGCAGACGGCCAGATCGGGTCAAGATTGGCTGCCCACCCTCAACGGTCTGGTGGTCTTGGGAGCGCCCGGGCAGGTACAGGAAGGAACTTGCGCCTGCCGTGTTGGTTCTGCACCCGCGAGTACGTACTACAAAGTTGCGGTTGACATGTAACTTAGTCGGTGCCCGCTTTTGCCCGCACTAGACTCTTCGATGTCTAGACGTCAACTGGTTTGTTTACCCAAGAACTCCACGGTTGGCTTCTGCACACCGGGCAACTAACTACTACGAGTAGCTACCGTGGGTAGGTACTCTGTAGTTAGAGCCGAGAAGGGCCGAGAAGGGGGGAAGTAAAATAAAATAAAATAGCCGAGCACACCTAGGCCGTCGTCCCTCCAGCGACTATGGACCGCAGATTGGAGAGCGGGAAAAGAGACCAGACCTAAAAGGGGGGGCGATGGAGTGACAAACAGGCGCTGCACATCCAATTTGTGGGTTGGTATTTGGTAATTAAAGCCAGCGAAGAAGAGTCGAAGCCAAAACACTGAATTGTTGCAAGAAGGAAAAGGCTGGGCGGGCGGGTAGGGAGACGAGACGAAGGTTAAAACCGAAAATTATGACGAGAGCACAGATGCATGCCCAGGCCGAACAACAGATGAAACAAGCCCTCCAATATGCTTTATTGTTGAGGTCCTGGGGCCATTGAGTCCATGTCCGTGAGTCTGCGAGGCTGTCGAGTTACTGGTGGCCCTGTTGCCGGTGCAAGTCGACAGCCCGCCCTAGCGGCTGGAACCCTTCAGTGACCACTTCGCCTTGGCACTGGCACCAGCTGGCCATACCCTGGACCACGAACAATGGGTCCTGGCAATACGTCCCAAGACGTCGAGGTCAGCTTGTTGCCCCGTTGATGGCCAGCCGACACCGCCTCCCAACATCTCGAGCTGCATCATTGATGCAGTGTCTGCAGCCATACCACCCGAGAATGGAGACAGCTCATTAGAACGCTGACGCCACCGCTTGGGCCACTTGAGAAATGGTTGACTAACTGCCGTGGTCGTGGGGAACGAATCCTACCTCGGACAAAGAAAACAAGATTGCGAAACTTTACTCCAAATTAACGAGTTGATGAGCCGTCTCTTCCTCTGTCATTCCACCTAGATGCTGACGCTCTGCATCTGGTGATATAGCTCTCGACCCCCGTCTTGTCTTGTTTGGCCAGATCCTTTTTGCCTTCGTTGCTCAGGCAGACCATCGTTCAATATTGCCCGTGTCCGATTGTGTTTACATTTCCATCAATTTCTGGACGTCGTGCATCCTCCCCCCACGCCAACTGGCCCACTAGCAAGGGCTGTCTACATTAGTAGTGACTCTAGTCCACCAGCGAGCGACCCAATCCATCCGTAGGCCAGATCACCACGCTGGCATCATTTTGTTTCCTCAAGTGAGCTCCTCTCGTCTCGGAAGCGGTGATGCACTACACTGCTAATTCAAGGATAGACGTCTTCAAGTAACTACAGCAGCCAAGGCTTTTGAGCCATCTGAAATATATATTATCGCATTACATATACCTACTTCGTAGTGCGGAGGACATATTCTGCATGGACATGGAGTACCCGTCTCTCTCCAGTGTGTCTGATTGCAGGGTCTCAGACAACTATCCGGATGCAACGACATAAAAGAGCTAGCCGTAAACACTTCTCCCGGACCCCCTCCTCATTTACAGAATTATAAGACAACACTTGAAAACGTGCTTGGCTCAGAACACATCGTGCTTCTCCTGATTAATGGAGCCTCATCACAGCGCAGCGATTCCATCACAAGCTTTTAACTGCCGATGAAAAACAAACAAGCAAACAAGCGTGAGACGGCATCACAGAATATGCATGAATGGCTATATGCCCTAGAAAGTATATAGAGGAATAATTACCTTCAACTTCAAAGTAAATCTAGGCAATTCATTAGGTGCTGTACACGGAGCAGACAAGCATCATAAATTGATTCTTCGTTACAAGTTTATTGTCTCTGAAGGGCTAGGTACTTTCGAGGAACTGAGTACCAGCCGGCTGTGGTGCCAAGGGCCTGCCATTAATGACCTGCCCACACACACTCAATTGCAAGATACAATTCGAATTTAGTGAGATAGGAATACCAATATTACTGCTAGTCCTATGCTTGCATATTACGCTGCCATACTGGATATGTCTGGCTTGGTACGCTTGCCAGAATAGCCATTTCTCGCTAATCCAATAACAAAACTCCATCCGGCGAAAACCAGTCCCTTCCCTGCCATCTCACTTTGCCTATTATTTATCCAACGGTAAAGATTTTAATTCCACGGAAGCCGGAAGCGGTCTCGCCAATAAGATACCGAAGCTTTGGTGACGAGGAGATCAAACATGATCTACCGATGGACAACCCCTGTGGTTGCAGACGATTTGCCATCGCCGGCATGGAAACCCATGCAAATCGCTATTCATCTTGGCGCAGGAATGCGCTGGTGCCTGCCGACGTCCAAAGGGAATGACTCTACCAGTCATAAGCGATTATGCGGTGCTGGGATCTCCTATAATATCTTGCAAAGCCTAGGAAATAGGGTCCGGTAAATCTCCAACAGAGGTGCCTACAATAACACAGCAGGCTGAATGATAATATGCCAATACTAGAAGCTATCACCAGGTGATGAGGTGCCAAGATTCAAGCCGCTATACCACTCGTTTTATGTTGGCGACCCATGGTCCCTTTCTATAATGTCTTCTCTTCCGAGAGGTCTCGTGCCATCGTTGAGGACCATCGCTTCGCGGTGTTGGCGCCGAAGTCGCTGCTCCTCCACAGAAGTCTCTCGCATAGGCCTTCGAACGCGATTTATGGAAGGGCTTTCCCCCACAATTTCCTCTTCAATCTCCATGATGATGTCCGGAGTTCGGATCCGACGCCTGGAACCGTCGATCAAGCCAGCTTGTTCCAAGGCTCTCAAGCCTCTCTTGGAATGTTTTAACTTATCAACAATCTCCACAAGCCTATTGTCTTTGAGGTCCATGTATGCCTTGAAATTGTGGCGGCGCGCAACCGGATCGTCTCCCCATTTCTGTTTTGCGAGCCACTTTTCCACGAACCTAGCCTTGATAAGTGCATTACTCCCATATTTGCTGATTAGCTCGTGGATGAACATGAGGTTGAATCTTTCGGCCATGTCACGAAGATAATATTCGTCCCAGTGACTATTAGTCAAGTCTGGAAGTTCTGCGTCTTCGAGACTAAGTTCCAGCGACCTCACCAATGCCGAGTACGCCTTGTCATTATTAAGTTGAGCTAAGCCATCAAGGCCTGCAGGAATTAGCTTGGCACAATTATTGATGCCGGGATGGCTTGTACGTACCCATGGTCTGTCCAGTCAGCAGAGCAAGAGCTCGAAGACATCTCATGCGCTCTTCGTAATCTGGCCGAGTTATTCCGTAGAGAAGCGTAAGGAGAGTTTGAGGATCGTTGATGGCTCTATCACACAATATCTTGGTAGCAACCTCCCTGACGGAATAATTTGGGTGCACTAGAAGCTTCTCCAAAGTATCGAGCCTAAGGGAATCTTCCGTTTCCTGAGTGATGTATTGCGCCTTAGGCTCCTTTGGTGGGATTTCGTTGTCATCGCGAATGATGGTCAAAACGGTGATTATGGTACGGACAAGACCGAACGTTGCGAGGCCAATACCGACCAGGTGCACCCGGTCGTCGCGACAGAATGACCAACAGGCTTCTTTCCACCCCATGGCGGCAAAAATTCTATGAGGATAAATGCTATTTCTCGCATGCCGGGTGCGTTTGTTGGCACGGTGTAGCAATGTTAGCGAGGTGCTGTTCAAAGCGCTCGTGGCAAGGCAGGCGAAGGTATAAATAGTTCTGCCCCGAGCCACCACCAAAACCTTCATCCGGTTTGAGTTTAGTGGGTTGCGGAAGCTGGCATTGGCATGGTAGGAAGCCGCACTGTGGACGCTGTGGACGGGCAGGCCCCACTGGGCGCTTTATCGATTGCAATCTGAAAGTCAAAAAATTTCCCATCCAAGTGCGACGAACGTCTAGCGGCCATCCCCAGCAACACTCGAGGTGAGTCGGTGTTGGCGATTTACATCTTTGAAAATGGCAGGGTCACAACTCAAGCGTCTCAAGGCGTCGTTGAGAGAACAGGGCATAACTGGACCTCAGCAGTCGAAGAAACAGCGCCGTAAGAACGCTGAGCAAGGAAAGGCACGCAGCGATAAGAGACTCCAGCGAGGTGTAGTTTTGGAGGGAATCCGCGAGCAGTTTAACCCATTTGATCTGAAGCATGCTGCTCGAGGCCCCAAGTTCGACGTGACAACCAACCGAGTCGCTACTGGAGATGCTGCGAAGGGAATTCGAGGACGACCGGGTGTCGCCAGAGCTGTGGGTGAAGAAAGGGTGGGTTCCATCTCTGCGCATTGTTCGGGAGGCTCAGTCTAACGAGGATGTTGTGTAATAGAGACGCGAGACACTGCTAGTTGACATGCAGCGACGCAACAAGGTCGGAGGCATTCTGGACAGACGATTTGGCGAATATGACCCCACGATGGCGCCTGAAGACAAGATGCTCGAGCGATTCGCCAGAGAGAAACAGCGAAGTCACAAGAAGAGCTCAATGTTTGATCTAGAGGAGGATATTCCCATGGAAGGCGGTCTAACCCACGGGGGCAAAGCCTTGGAATTCGACGACGACAACCCAGTGGACGATTTCCAGGAAGATGACCTGGCCATGGACTACGACAGCGATGGTTCCGTGAGGGAAATGCAGCGGTTAAAGCGACTGCGATCGTTGGCATCGGCAGATAACGACGAAGGTGAACAAGATGAACCAGAAAGGAAGAAGACCAAGAAGGAAGTCATGGAAGAAATCATTGCCAAATCAAAGATGCACAAGTATGAAAGACAAGCTGCCAAGGAAGTCGACGAGGATATGCGTGTCGAGCTGGACAAGGAACTCCAAAGCATTCAAATGCTTCTCACATCTACCAAGGGTTCACGACGCGAGAATGGGGCCAACAACACTCACGCATCTTCAATTGCTGGTGTCGACAGAGACGCTTTCGACCGAAACTTTGATCTTGAAGTTAAAAAGTTGGCACAGGACAAGCGTGCTCAGCCCACTGAGCGAACTAAAACTGAAGAGGAAAAGGCAGAGGACGAGTCTAAAAGATTGAAGGAACTCGAGGACAAGCGTCAGAGACGTATGAAGGGAGAGATTGTGACTGACAGCGAAGAGGAAGAGGAAGATCAGGATAAGGCAGCCGACTTGGGCGGGATGGAAATGGATGATGAAGATGATGGTTTTGGCTTGGGTAGTGGTATTCGCGCTCGTCCAACAGCTACAGAGTTGGGTTTCGACGATGAGGACGATTTCATCATTGACGACGACCTCGTCGCGAGCGGTTCCGATGTCGAGCCTGTGGACAGTGACGAAGAGTCGGAGGAAGATGATGAAGACATGTCACAACAGAATGAGGTGGATGAGGAAGACGAGTTTACCAGGGGCTTGCTGAACGAAGAAGAAGCCAGGAATCCTATCTTTCGAATTGTCGACTCTGATGCGAGGGCGGCAGCGGCCCAACAGTCGGATGAGCACGGCCTACCTTTCACCTTTCCTTGTCCCCAGTCTTGCGACGAGTTTCAGGCCATAACCACAGCCTACTCTCATAAATCCTTGCCAACAATTGTCCAACGAATCCGAGCTCTTCATCATCCCAAGCTGAATAGCAAAAACAAGGAGAAACTCGGCAATTTTGCCATGGCTCTTGTGGACTTTGTGGCTCTGCCGTGGAATGAAAAGACATCTCCGCCATTTGCCGTTTTGGAGAGTCTAATTCGTCATATTCATTCTCTCTCCAAGATGTTCCCAACAGAGGTGGGTCGAAGGTTTCGCCATCATATCTCGGAAATTGGCCAACATCGACCTTTGGCCCTGGAGCCATCGGATCTCGTGGTACTAACGGCTATTGGCACCGTATTTCCTACCTCGGATCATTTCCACCAAGTCGTGACACCATCTATGCTCACTATGGGTCGGTTTTTGGGCCAGAAGGTCCCTCATAAACTATGCGACTATGCGACAGGTGCATATCTTGCCATCTTGTCCTTGAAATATCAGCAACTATCAAAGAGATTTGTTCCGGAAGTGCTTGGCTTTTGCTTGAATACGCTATGTGCTCTGTCGCCATCTGCACCGGCCAAACGGCTTGGCAATTTTCCTCAGCACGAACCCTCAGCTGGTATTCGAGCTCAAAAACTTGATGCTACTGCTGTTAGAAAGTTGACGCTAGGCGATTGTGCAGCTGTCGGCTCAAAGAGCGACTCTGCCAAGGCTGCAACCATTGCCACCATGTTAGATATTCTAGATGCTGCTGCTGACCTGTGGTCCGGAAAGGAGGCATTCTTGGAGACATTTGGCCAGGTAGTGAAGGTACTCGAGCACGTCACCAGCAAGACCTGCCGACCACAATTGCCATGTCAAATCGTGGACAGGGCAGAAAAACTAGTAGCCAAACTCGGGCGGATGCTCAGCCTTGCTCAAATATCACGACGGCCCTTGGAACTGCACCATCATCGACCACTTGCTATCAAGACATATATACCCAAGTTCGAGGAGACATTCGATCCTGACAAGCATTACGACCCTGACCGGGAGCGTGCTGAGTTGGCCAAGTTGAAGGCCGAACACAAGAAGGAGCGCAAGGGGGCCATGAGGGAGCTGAGGAAGGACGCCAATTTCATGGCTAGGGAGAAGCTCCGAATCAAGAAGGCCAAGGATGAGGCGTATGAGAAGAAGTTCAAGAGGATTGTGTCCGAGATTCAAAGCGAGGAGGGCAAGGAGGCGAATGCGTATGAAAGAGAGAAGTCGGCGAGGAAGCGGGCCAGGAACAGGTAGATGTCTTTGGTTGATTAGCTGTTTATGGATATGTCGTGGCAAGTTTTCTTCTTCAGCAGGATGCGCCGCACGTGCGAGAATAGTTGCGTGTGTGCTCCATACTCTGCATGTGAATCCTTGATCTTGATGAGAACTGTAGTATAAAATCACATCTGGGTCATCTCCATCGTTTCATAACGACCGCCTCCTGTGTCATCGACATATATTAGCAAGTTTTTTGTGCAATAATTTCCAACACCCTTGTCAGTCGTGGTCTTCCTCGGTGACGCCTGGGCATCCGTCCATCTCACTGCCATCATACTTCATCTTACACCAAAAACAATACCAGTACTTTTCTCGCAAGTATTCGACCAATCTTCTCAGCCTCTCCGCCGGCTCAAGAGAATTAAACGAATCCAGCTCCTCATCCTCCTCATCCAAGTCCTCGGAAGTAACATATGTGGTCTTCTTCTTCCCCAAAGCCTTCTTGTCATCCTCATCTTCGTCGGCGTCGTCATAGGTAGGTAACCGCGAGAGAGACTGCTCCAGGTCGTACCTCATCCGTCTATCACGCTCCTTTTCCTCCCTGCGGCGCACAAGACCACGATACAGCACGGGTATTGACTTTAGCGGCCGCGAAGAAGGAGGTTTTGGCCGTGCCGCCGATTCTGACCCCTCATCGGACGCGCTCTCATCCTGGACCTGCTCTTCATCCATGCGCTCCGCGACACGCTGCGCAGCATGAAACTGCTTCTCGAGCCTCTCGTCCTCGCGCTCTTTTCTTACTCTTTCTCTGTACTCGTCGGGATCCATTTTGACAGCCTTGATGCCCCGCTCCTCCATGGCCTCATCAAGCTTGCGCTTCTTCTCGCTCTCCAAGCCAATGCCACTCCGGTCCTCTTTGATGCTGACCTTGATCGGCTCTGTCCTGCTGGAGCCCTCGCCATCATGTACCTTTTTGCCCAACGCGCCTCCGGAAAACCCCATCTTGGCCATCATGGCCAGGCCTTTGCTCTTCTTTGCTCCGGGCGCTTCGAGCATAGACGTTGACAGGGCCTTTTCTCTGGCTGCTGCGGCCTCTTCTGCAAGCTGTGCTTTGGACTTTACTACGCCCCTGGCCAGGGATTCCTTTTTTAAGCGCTGTGTTCGTTGTAGAGAGGTTTCTTTTTTGGGTGCAGGGTCGTCAAACGTCATGTTCATATAGTCGTCCTCGTCATCATGGCCTGCGGTACCGTTGAACGACGGCATGATTCAGACAAGCCGGGTGGATGACGGCTTGGTATCCCTAGTATCGCAAAAGCAATGAATGCGCTTCGAGCAGTTCTGTTTACTCAGAATTGGCAATGAACTTGTTGTTTGTGATGTCCAGGCTGTACATAAAAAGGTTGGATGGAGATGTTGCCCGTGGATGCAGATGCGGTGCATGAACATTGAAGCTAGTGTCTGGTTACTTAGTTCCCGGTCGTGGTTCCACCCGGATCCACACATGTGGGCTTTCAATGTTACGTATGTGTTGTCTGGGGTGCCTCCCCATGCACTGTGCGACAACTCACCTCCAGTGGGAAGGCAAACGTTGAAAGTCGACATGTATTACTGGGCCCCCTCAGGTGCCTGGCTATCACGCTCCAAGCTGCAATACTGTAGTGTATTAGTGTGTACTTCTCCTTAGGCAGAAATACTCTGGCAAAGACTGTATCAACTTGACTTTTACTATTCATTGAGCCATGGCAAAATACATGAATTTCGTGTAGCTTAGCGCCTAGCAATAACCGTCCATTTACGAGGTTAGTATGTGCAAGTCAGTTTACAAACGAGTGAAGGCCCAGGGCTACGCTGAAAGAAGGTCGTCCGACGAGATCAATTCTGGAGTACGTAGCGATGAAAACTGTCTAGCATACTAACCTCGTATAAACCGCCCTCAAAGTCTTCCCCTCAGCCATTTCGTCACACGAAAAGCAAGATATGTAGCCATAAACCGTTACAATTCCTCGGCCATGTGCGTTGTAACCCAGTGAAGTCAGCTCACAATGATGCTGGCCTCATCAGAAATCTTTTTCTTTGGCCCTTCTGACTCCTCTGTATCATCATTTGACACTTCCTCTTTGCGAACTGTCACGTTTGCAGGGCAAACCAGCTCCTTGCGCCCAAAATACTCACCCTCAGTGGTGCTGATGATGAAAAGTGGCGGGCTGTGTATTACCTCGACTGCGAATTTCGCTGGTTGACTCGTATATAGACCGTTGGGCACGTTAAGACATGATGAAATCTTCATGACCCTCTCGTCATAGGCTATTTTCTCCCTAGCCGGTCGGTTGAAGAAAGACCCAAACTCGTAGATATCTCGAGACTTGATGAACAATCTCATGATGTTAATAGCAGAATCAAATACGAGGGCCAGGTCCTCGCGTAACTTGGTGCTTATTGGACGCTCTGTGAAAGGCTCCAGATGTTTGCTTAAACGCTGCACGTATTGCAATTTCAAGGTTTCATTTGCTCCAAGACCAAAGATAATGATCCCCGCTGCCCGGGATTTCATGACTGTCATTGCTGATGGCCCTCTTTGAGCTTTCCATTGCAGTTAGTGAAAACATATTAATATAAAGCTTTGATTTCTAGACAGGGTTCTTTAGACTTATCAAGTGATACATACCTCTCAAGTCGCGGACATTTTTCACAAAGTTTGTCTCGACACCACCATCCCAAAGCTTACTGTTCTCTTTGAACACAGCACTCTGTAAATCTTGCCATATGTGCCTTTCAAGAAGTGGTACCTGTAACTCGGAGTTCTCTTTAACGCCCCTGATTATTCGATTTATTTCCGGCAAGAGATTTGTAATATCATCGCTTATCGGTGTAGCTGTGAGATTCCGGACAACCAAGTCGTGAATAGAGTAGATGAGGTGCCTCCATTCTTTATCAATGACATCCATAGACACAGTCGAAAGCTCATCTGGGTGGTGTATTTTAGCATTATCTAGAGCTTGTATTGCGTTTTGCTGAATTTCGTCACGATCCTTTTCCAACTCTCTGCATTTGACCTGAATCGACTTATTGCTGTCCCTCAGACGTGCGACTTCGGCCTCAAGATTGCCCACCTGCTTTGAAAGCATAGATCTTTCATCCTGCAGCGCGGCTACTTCAACCTCTTGGTCCTCTACGCTTAGCTCGAGGTCGATAATCTTTCCGGTTGAGCGCCGCAGTTGTCGTTTCAGCCTATAGTGCATGTCTTCGAGCGCTTGCACAAGATTCTGGAATCCTTCATCATACTTCAGTCGCTTCGGTGCAGGGTCTGCTGCATTGGAGACTTGAAGTGATCTCTTTTCTGCCGACTTTGGGAAAGTTCGTATTTTTCTCTCGCCAAGTGACGCATTCTCTTCCTCTAAATCATTTTCTGGTATTGGAGAGGTTGTAGTTGATTTTGCTCTTCGAAATGTGATAGTCTTTCGTTTGCCTGGACTTGAGTTGGTGGCTGGCTGACCCTTTTTGACACGAATGGTAGTCGTCTCAGCCTGGGGTACACAGTCTGCGTCGCCTTCAGACTCAAGCCTTTCGCTAGCAAGACGGGAGCTTCTTCTTGGCGTCATTTTGATAAAGTATGCGAGATTTGGCTACTAATTTGATGGTCAAAAGATCGGAGGATCGTATCATAACTCTGAGATGAATGGTGGGAGCAAGAGGAGCAGATTGGAAAGTCGAAGCAATAAAAAAGGAAAAAAATTAAATCCCTTCAAATGATGGAATCGATTGCTATTGTCCTCTAGTTTTGGTCAATAACGGCAGAAATGGGGGTCAAAAATGAAAAGAAAGTGAATAGTAAGTGAGAAGGAAGTGAGCTGACTGGAAAATAAAATCCTTTAAGCTACAACGTTATTTGTGCCTCTTTTGACCACCTATCAGGTTTCATCTGCGAATTTGATAGCATATGCAAAGCTTCTCCTACACCAGGCCCAATTCCGTTGACGGCCAAATAACGATTGATAACGCGGACATGTTCTTCCAATGAACCAACGTCTGCATAATGGCTCACTCTCGTTCTATAATAGTGGGAATTGATTTTGGCACCACGTTTGTCCCATATGAGCTTATACACAGAAGAATTTTACCGTTTTGCTGACCGGTTCCAGGTACTCTGGTGTTGCCTTTGCTCGAGACGCCGAGCCAGACCGTGTTCACTTTGTTTCCAGCTGGAGCTCGCCGAACCTTTACTGCTTCACAAAACAAAAAGTCCCTACTGCTATATACTATGGCGATAATGATGAGACACCAACATGGGGCTACGACGTGAAGCCAGAGCAAAATGCTTTACGATGGTTTAAACTCCTTTTGCTCGATGACGAACACATGCCCGCTCATGTCAAAAACTCGAAATACATTCGTGCTGCAAAAGATTTGCTAAGAAAGGAAAACAAACATGTCACAGAGGTCATTGCGGATTACCTCCGACTACTATGGGAGCACAGCCTGCAAGTGATAGAGAGGGCCATGGGCGAGGGCATGGTCAAACTCTCAACTTTCAAATTTGTAGTGACTTTGCCAGCGATTTGGCCAGCTTATGCTCAAATTAGAATGAATAGAGCCATTGCAGCTGCAGGATTGCTAAATAGACGAGCAGCTGGCAAAACTTGTTTGACTTTTTTGCCGGAGCCTGAAGCTGCAGCACTTGCAACGCTTCACAAAATGTATCGAAGGCCAGATATAAAGGTGAGAATACTAACATCACGGCTCTATTGTGTTGTAATTATCATTCACTAACTTGAAAGAAAAATGATGATGTTGTGGTCTGTGATTGTGGCGGTGGTACTGTGGTAAGTTGCAGCAGCTGAGCCTTCGACTGGGCTGGGATTAACAAAGACTAGGACATCATCACCTATAAGATCTTGAGACCGCTTCTCTTATCAATTCGGGAAAGCGTCCCTGGCGACGGTGAGTATGAATATGCAGGGTTATTCTCAGATTTACTAAATATGTTTTGCAGGGAGGCTCTGCGGTGCAGTACGACTAGATGAAGCTTTTGGGCGTCTATTAACGAGCAAGATGCCGCGGGACGTCCTACAAGCTTTGTCTCTTGAAGAGTGGCAAAGAATTCTCAATGACAACTGGGAAAACGGCATAAAGCCCGGGTTTATGAATAATAATAAGTCGTGGACCGTCCGAATTCCATTTTGTGAGAGTTTAGTCGATGTACGACATCCCAAAGACATTATACTTGGAAGGTAAGATGTTATCCTGCACTATTTTAATAATTTATTTGTCTGGAGTTATAAGAGACTTATTTCAAAGCAGGGATGATATCTGGTCCGTCTTCAAGATTGTCTTGGGCGAAGTTGCATCGCTAGTCTTGGACCAGATTCGGGAGGCGCATAGGAAGTACAAGAGGCCGCCCAAGGTATGTGCAATCAAGTACTACGAACATTCGCCAAACGCTTGCATGCTCACGTCTCTCGACAGTATGTACTGCTTGTAGGCGGTTTTGGAAGATCTCGTGCTCTGTACGACTATCTGCAGAAGGAGATTAGATTACGGTTTAGGAGTGTCGAAATCCTCCAAGACGAAGGTACTGACCCGTAAGTTTCGCCCATAAGGCAGGAATTCGGCGCATGCTACGACTTGGCCTCTGATATTTGTTTATAGATGGACAGCAATTTGCGAGGGGGCAGTCGTAAACGGCTTAAAAAAACAACAATGCCAAACCTCTGCACAACACTGCCTAGTTGACTCCAGATTTGCTCGGGCTAGCATTGGAACTACTTATAATGCACTCCCCTTCGACGAGGATATCCATGATATAAAAGACAAGGAGTGGTGTCCCGTGCAACGAGAGTATCAGGCATCAGACCAAGTCCACTGGTTCATTTACAAGGTAACAACCCACATTCAGTAGTCAAGGGCATGGTCTGACGGAGCATAGGGCGAGGTGGTCAACGCGAATGAGCCTGCTGTCTTTGAATTCTTCCAGACCTTGACAGAACAACCTACTGAAATGGTCAACGAAATGGTGTATTCCCTGGCTGAAACTCCACCAAACAGATTTGATCATACCGTCAGGTCTCTTTGCCGCATGCAATGGTCATACATCCCAAATATTACTGTTCTTCGGGAGAAAATGAATGACGCGGGCCATATATTTTACGAATTGCCCTACAAAATAGAGATGGTCACACAAGGAGTCTCACAAGACTTTCAAGTCTTTTACGAGGATAAGATAGTTGCGGCGCACAACGTGAGTGAGTTTCTGAAGACGGATCTGCTGATTGAAGACGATTAAAGATGGTTCAAGACGAGTAAAGACAGTTAAGAGTGGTTCAAGATATATGAAGACGAATGAGACGGTTAAAGACGATTGATCTTGCACCAACTTGCTTCCTTTATGTATAGATATCCAAAATATGAGACTGCATGGTGTCTTTTCCTTGCTTATACCGTGGAAACCGGTACGATTGGGCGTTTGCCTTGTAAATACACAGAACGCTTGATATTCTCACTCAGATGCGAGATTGATAGCCTTCTGAGGATAGGAGGCGCCCTGTAGCTGGAATACATATATTTCCATCCAGAGTAGTCTCGACACAGTGGCATCACTGAGGATGCGGAGTATTGGAGACGAGGGCACTGGTAACGTTCTCAAGGCTGAAAATCACGGCTACTTCCCGTTGTCCAGGTGGGGTCCGGCTCGTGCGCGTGAGCTCGACAGTGATCAAATGGGGTGCTTGAAGAAGCCTGGCAGGTAGCTGAATCCACGGCTTTAGAGAAACATGTCTGAAGCTGAGCTCACGACACTTTTGCAACAGTTGACAGAATGTCGCATAAACGGGCTGCGGGCCGGCACTTAGAATTCGGGGGCAAGAGCGACCCCGTCAAGAGGTCTGCCCCTGTCCCACACATGTGCACCGCCCCCCTGTCATTTGTCACTTGGCTAGCCGTTCTTGGGTGTTGAGCCACCTGGCCTTGTGCCACGGCATCACTAGGCCTTGTCTTTTTTTTTGCAGCCCGTCAATCTGTGCATCCAACAAAGCAATTGAACCTTTGCGACCCTTCATGCCATAGTCGTCGGCGGTGTGTGCCGTTTCTCGCCGCTATGAAGATCTCGTATCTCTCCCTCGGGCTGCTGTCCCTCCTCACGCCGCTCACGGCCGCGTGGAGCAAGGAAGGTAAGAACAGATATGTACCCGTTGGCTATTGCTGTCGCACTCGATGTCGCAGTGCTATTAGAGATTGAGAATCTTCTTCATCTCAGTCGCTAATACGTGTTCTAGATCGTGAGATCTTCCGAATCCGAGATGAAATCTCCGCCCACGAGCCCAACCCTGCTGCGACCTTTTACGACATTCTTGGTGTGCCTCCCAGTGCCTCTTTCGATGACATCAACAGAGCCCACCGGAAGAAGACCATGGCCCTTCACCCTGACAAGGTTGCGCAGCGACTGAGGGCCGAGCGCTTAAAGAATGCTGGTGGCAAGGGAAAGAAGAGCGCTATCAAGCCTCCCAGCTCAGCTGAGGTCAAGGCCGCTGTCAAGCAAGCTTCGGAGCGCCAGACCCGACTTACCTTGATTGCCAACATTTTGAAAGGCCCTTCTCGAGACCGCTACGACCATTTTCTTGCCAATGGATTCCCTCTTTGGAAGGGCACCGATTACTACTACAATAGGTACCGACCCGGGCTGGGAACTGTCATGGTTGGCCTTTTCATTGTTGGTGGTGGTGCTATCCACTACTTAATCTTGTACATGAGCTGGAAGCGGCAGCGCGAGTTTGTCGAGCGCTACGTCAAGTTTGCCAGGGACACTGCTTGGGGCGGAAATTTGGGCATCGCGAATATTGAGCCTCGGTCTTCTACACCAGCTACGGCCTCGGATGAGGAGGCCCCTCCCCCATTGCCCCAAAACCGAAAGGAACGTCGCATGCAGGAAAAGGAAGCCAAGAAGGAGGGCGGCCGTGGACGTGCTAAGAAGGTTACTAAGAAGACCTCTAGCGCTTCTCGTGATGCCTCATCCGGCCCTACTGGTGTTCGCAAGAGAGTCGTTGCTGAAAACGGCAAAGTCCTTGTAGTTGACTCTTTGGGAGACGTCTACTTGGAGGAGCAAGATGAGGAAGGCAATGTCAACGAGTATCTCCTCGATGTGAGTGTTGTCACTGGCCCTTTTGCACGTGGACATCGTCAAGTATGCATACTAACAACCAAGACAGCCCAATGAGCTTCTTCAGCCTACCTTTAGGGACACCGCCGTTGTGCGCCTTCCCATGCATATCTTCAACTTGACTGTCGGTCGTTTCACTGGTAACAGAGATGCTATTCCGGACTCCCAAATTGTCGAAGCTGAGGAAGTGGTTGATGCTTCTCAGCAAACTCCCAGTAGCGAATCTGCCGGCGATGACTTTGAGCTCCTGGACAAGAGCACTGACTCTCTCGGCAAGGCGAAATCATCCGGAATGGAAAGGAGCGGCAAGTCTAGCAAGCGCAAGAATAAGAAGCGATGAGCACACACGACAAAAAAATGCATCGGCGCAATACTTTATTACTCTGCGCCACATGGTGGTTTTCTTGGAAATGAAAATAAAAGCGACAGGAATTTGAAGGGATGAGAAGGGTTTATGCGGGCGGTTATCCCCCCTGTCGGACTGTATCTGTAAAGTATAGATGAGCTAAGACGCGAATAGACGAGATTGTGGTTGATGGTGCAGCGCCCAACGTCGTGGTTCGTTAGCGCATCGGTATTGGTCAATTGGGTCAAGCTAATCCCAGTCGTGGCATGCCGGCTGCTCCCTTTTGGCTTTGTTGAGCATGTGTGCATTTTAATGGCGGCCTTTTTTTTTTTTTTTAGATCTATCCCAGAGCACTGACTCTCTCGGCAAGGCGAAATCATCCGGAATGGAAAGGAGCGGCAAGTCTAGCAAGCGCAAGAATAAGAAGCGATGAGCACACACGACAAAAAAATGCATCGGCGCAATACTTTATTACTCTGCGCCACATGGTGGTTTTCTTGGAAATGAAAATAAAAGCGACAGGAATTTGAAGGGATGAGAAGGGTTTATGCGGGCGGTTATCCCCCCTGTCGGACTGTATCTGTAAAGTATAGATGAGCTAAGACGCGAATAGACGAGATTGTGGTTGATGGTGCAGCGCCCAACGTCGTGGTTCGTTAGCGCATCGGTATTGGTCAATTGGGTCAAGCTAATCCCAGTCGTGGCATGCCGGCTGCTCCCTTTTGGCTTTGTTGAGCATGTGTGCATTTTAATGGCGGCCTTTTTTTTTTTTGCTAGATCTATCCCTCGAGCTTCTCTAGTCACCAATTGTCTTCTCTTTCCCCTCGTCAATTGTTTACACTTTGGCGGACGCCATATAGTCATCCACCAACACATGTCAGCATGCTCAGGAACAGAGTCATCGTCACTGACAACGCTCCGTCCACGGCACCCATCCGCCTGCCTACGAAGCAACTCTCCTCCGCGGCTAAAGATAACATCCCGCCCAGCAAGTCCGTCCTCCTAACCATCTCCCAGATCCCCGAGTGGTACAGCGAAAACCCGTACATCCACACCGGCTACCGGCCTGTTTTCGCCGCAATAGCTCCCTGCATCGGGAGTTGGTGCTACCTCCACAACCAGAGCTTCAACATCTACACCCATCTCATACCGGGGATATTTGCGCTTGTCGTAAACGCCGGGCTCTGCCAATACTTCTCCGTGTGGTATCCCGAGGCCACCGCGCTGGACAGACTCGTGTTCCATGTATATCTGACTGCTGTGTCTGTTTGTTTCGGGGTATCAGCGGCGTATCATACGCTTCTGTGTCATTCGAGAGAGTTTGCGGACCTGTGGGTGCGATTGGACTATGTTAGTATCTCGGTGCTGATACTGGGCTCGTTTGTGCCCGGGCTGTATATGGGGTTTTATTGTGAAATGGGTTTGCTAGGTGCCTACCTCGGAATGGTGAGTTGAACGGTGTGCCGCCATTGTATGCTCCCTGTACCCGGAAAGCGACACGGCGGCTGATGACATGTGTAGATCTTTTCCATGGGCTTGTTAAACGTATATCTATCCATAAACGACCGGTACGGGGCCAAAAACTGGCTTACATCTCGACTCTTGCCATTTCTGGGGATGGGGTTCTCGGCATTCATACCGATTGTCCATGCGGCCGTCATCTTCCCGTATGACCAGCTGCAGAAGCAATCTGGCTTGCATTACTATCTCTTGGAGGGCGTTTTTATGCTGGTTGGAGTGCTTTTTCTTGCGGTAAGTCGTTACCCCGAGATGTGTGCTTGTCACGGGTTTGAAGAAGTGTGTGTGTGTGCGCTGACTCTTGTAGACCAAGTTTCCGGAGTGCTGGCTTCCAGGCACGTTTGATTATATCGGCGCATCGCATCAAATATTTCATTGCTTTGTCGTCATGGGTACGTTGAGTCATTTCGGTGGTATCATGTCGGGTTATGATTGGAATTATAGAAACAGGCGATGCGCTTTGCATGTGTAGAAGGGCTGGGTGCCAAGATGCGTGGGTATAGAGATGGAGGTTTGCATTGAGAGAGTTAGATATTGCCGGTACGATGTATGGTGGATCTGAATAAAATATGGGAGCATTGAACGGAGCAGAAGGTCGCTGATTCTTGTGTTTCCACGTCAAAGCGTACCGTTGCTTGTGTGAATCGATCCTACAAAGATTCCGGCGCCGCTGTGTCACACAAGAAAAGTGACGCCATACAGCATGCGTTCAACGTTGCAACTGGGCCTTATATTGTATTGTGACCGTTTCGCTTCACTTTCTTGGGCGGCATACTTGGCCTCACTAAGCCGCGGCCCAGGCCCGTCAACTACTAGCCTAGTGGTGCCCTGGATGCCACTTCCGAGCAAAGTGGGTCGACTACTCCCGTAGCTCGGGCGCTTCCACGGTGGACTGTGGCAGGTCTGTAGCCAATCAGAGCCACCAGCTCGCAGTTCAGTGCCATGGTCTCCCAGACGCAGCCACTAAGAGGCTGCAACGAGGCGCCGAGGATCGCCAGGCGAGGCAATTGGACCCTGGACAGCCTCTTGTGCCACTTCACGTCTGTTGCATGTCGTCGTCCGTCTGCGCAATCATCACCAATGGCCTCCCCCGCATAACCTGTTGCCGCCCAGTCCCCTGCCTATTGATGGAGCCTATCTGTGCTAGACACATTGTACTACCAGCGCTTCATAGCCTGGCACTGAAGGCTTGGCTTGGGGTGGAGGAGCCTTCAATGGTGGAAGGACAAGAGCATGGAAGATTGTGAAAGACTGAATGTCGTTTCAGATTGCTTCCTCTCTTTCTCTCCCCTTGCCCTTCCTCCTCCTCTTCAACTCTGTTTCTCGATTTCTTTTAAAACAGTTCCTCTCCTGCAGGCGGCCGCATCGAAGGCGGCCATTTCTGCGACCAAGCCCGGCCCTTTTCCCCCTCTCAGCTGGTTCGAGAAACGACCCCGCCCCCGAGTCATCAACTCGGTTGGTCTAGTATCAACAGCTCCCAAACATCCGATAGCTTGGAAGACAGCTCGAAGATTTGAAGACGACGATATTGTTCTTCCCCGCGCATCCCGCGATAGGTTTTTTTTTTTTTTTTTTTTTTTTTTTTCTTCTTTTCAGGTCAGCTTCGGTGTATGTCGTTACGGACATGACACTTTTGGAAACAAGGCTTCCCTTTTTACACTTTTTGCAACATGTATTACGCAACACACCCCCGGGCAGCTCGTAGAGTCTGCGCGCTATACGTCTCCTGCAGGCGGCCGCATCGAAGGCGGCCATTTCTGCGACCAAGCCCGGCCCTTTTCCCCCTCTCAGCTGGTTCGAGAAACGACCCCGCCCCCGAGTCATCAACTCGGTTGGTCTAGTATCAACAGCTCCCAAACATCCGATAGCTTGGAAGACAGCTCGAAGATTTGAAGACGACGATATTGTTCTTCCCCGCGCATCCCGCGATAGGTTTTTTTTTTTTTTTTTTTTTTTTTTTTTTTTTTTTTGTGTTTTTTTTTTTTTTTTTTTTTTTCCTCTGCCGTTGCAACCCAAGGCTCACACGGACGGCCGCGCCAATAGACGTACGGATTGTTAAAATAGTTGGGCGTTGTGCGGCAAGCTCATTACACCGTTCCGTCATCCGAGAGGCACACACTTTGTCGTGAGGCATCTTGCCCACGTCGTACTACAAGATGGAGAGAAGTCGTGGAGTACCCGACCAGGAGATGTTCCTGAGCAAACCGGCCCCAGAAGACTGCGATAGCCCTACTGTCGAGCCCTTGCGCATTTTCAAACCAAAGAGCCCTGAGCCCGCCGGCCGCACCTCAGCTTCTCCCGCGAATAAACCTTCATTCCCTCTACCGCCTGGCGCATCAAGCTCTGCCGCACCGCTTCCCTTCCCAGATGACGACGAGGTGCGCAGACCGACTGCGCCAAGGCCTTACGGCTCGGCTTACAACGACACCACGCCTCGTCTAGACACGAGTTCCATCGAAAAGAGGCCTGGCCTGGCTGAAAGGCGAGGCGCTTCACCCAAGGTCATTCATTCACCAACAACTCCCGAGGCAGATCAGGGACTGTTTGCGCAGCCTTTGAAGGAGCAGCCTCGCCCAAATCCCGCTAGTACAAGCTACCCGAGTTATCAGAAGACATACTACCCGCCTCCCGGCGCTGCTACTACGACGACGACGACGGCTAGCTCCTCGTCTACCCAAGCTCCCAATGCAGACCAAGGTGTAAATCGCTTCGCATCTACAGCTTCAAACTCCACCACTCGAGCTAGCCGGGGCTCACCACCACCACCCGAGACTCCTGTTGTTGAACCTGGAACTATTCCCGGTGGCGGTATCGAGGCTCGATATGCTGCCTCTGGTATTTCTGGCACGGCGACGCTCACAAGCTTGCAGGCTCATCAAGCACAGAGTGCTGCTGCATCTCAGAGGCTAGCACAATATGGAAATCAACCTCCCCCTCAGCGTCCCTGGACGCCCACCGAGTCGCCTGATCAAGCGCCCTCGGGACCCCCGACAGTATACCAGGGCTTGAATCCCATCTCCAGCCCCGAACCGCGACTGGGAGCCGCCTCAGCACCTCCGCAGCCGGTACCGGCACCGAATCCCAACCAATACCAACAGAATGCGCCCGTACAGGTAAGCGTTTTGGAACAGGACTTCCAACGTCTAGGCACCAAGACGCCGCCTCCGGCATATTCTAGTGTTAATCCCAACGGAGGTTCAGCGTACCCCAAGGAGAAGCAGCGGCCTCAGCAAGCCGCTCCTCCTGGGGCTGCTACCGCCGCCGCTGCTCCCACAACCACGAGACCCAACACCACTCCTCCTACAGCAACCGCTTCTACATCTCCTCCGACTAAACCGGTGGCACTGGCAGCCGGTGCCGGGGCTGTGGCGGCGACGGCAGCTGGAATGATTTCGCCTGCACTACAACATCCCGGACATCCTGCCTTCGCCAACGATCCGAGACCCGAGCAAAATGGACAGTCACTCCAGTCCCCTGCTCCTACTATATCTCTTCAAACCCAGACGCCAGCTTCCCCTCCGCCATTGCCAGAAGGCTGGATTGCTCACTTGGATCAGAACTCTGGGCAATACTACTACATTCATCTTGCAACGCAGGCAACTCAATGGGAGTTCCCCAAAGGTCCGAATCCAATCTCACATGAACAGACGCCACTTTCGCCAACGGCTTCTACATATGGGAATCCATTAACATCACCCATGTTTGGCAAGCAATCCATGGCTTCGCCCATGTTTCCTCCGCACACACCAGGTTATGCTGAGAGCATCATGAGCGTCGCTTCCCAGACTCCTACTGCTGTTGGGTTTTCCGGTCCTCCACCTGGCTCAGGAGTGGAAATGTACAGAATTCAACCTACTAATGGTGTCTATTTCGGTCCCTATTTGCGATATGTCAACATGGACATTGAGAATGGAGTGTGGCGAGGTAGCATTCTCATCGTCACAGATGCTCATCAGCCACCGACAATTCATATCCATCTGAGTGTAGATCTCTCGCCAAACCCGAGACAACTTGAACCGCGTAACATCTTTACTCACCAGCGGTGGACATTTTACAAGTATGACATTGACTTGCAAATGAGCGAATCTGGTACAGAACGGTGGACTTATGCTGTGACTTCTCACTTGGGCTGCACACGATACGAATTCGTAGTTGCAGGTCGATACGAAACTGGCTGGCGCTTCATTGCCCACTCTGGAAATGACTTTGCGGCTGGTACTTCCCAGAATGAAAGAGCGCGCCTCGGCGGTGTTGGTTTCATGTGGAAAGATGTTTTGCAGAAGAATGTAGACTGCGGTGGATTTCACGTTCAACTCGGGCTTGGGGATCAGATCTACGGTGACAGATTGTGGAGAGAGGTTCCGTTACTAAAGCAGTGGTTGGCAATGAGCGGCAGGGACAACAAGAAAAATGTACAATGGACCGCTCGGCATGAGGAGGATGTTGCCCATGCATATTTCCACTTCTATACAAGCCACTTTGATCAACCGTTTATGAGGGAGGCGTTCGCTCAGATCCCACACGTTCTGCAAATCAATGACCACGACATGTAAGTAACCCCAAAATAGGGGCGGTGTGCGCACACCTGACTGACAAGATTCAGCTTCGACGGATATGGCTCATACCCCGACTACATGCAGTCCTCGCCCATATTTAAGAACATTGGCCGCATCGCGACGGAAATGTACCTCCTATTTCAGCACCACACGACCACAGAGATGATGCGAAACATCAGAACAGACAACGACATCTTCACAATTACAGGCACTGGCTGGCACTTTGTCAAGTACCTTGGTCCGGCAATGGCGGTTGTCGGACCAGATTGTCGATCCGAACGGACACAGGCTCGCGTCATGGCCGGCCCAACTTACCAAGGTATATTTCCCAAAGTTGCAACGCTGCCTCCAAGCGTTCAGCATGTGATATGGATGGTTTCGGTGCCTATTATATACCCGAGATTGGACGCTGTGGAGAGTTTAGCCAATACAGTTGCAGCTGGCAAAAAGGCTGTAAACACTACATACAATATTCTTGGAAAAGTCACCAGCTCCGTCGCAGGCGTTGTTGGTGGTAAGGAGGTTGTGTCTCAGGGCTTCTCGCAGGTCAAAAAGGCGGTCGGCAAAACGGGTCTCATGGGCAACGTCCTGAACCAGTTTGGTGAACTGGACATTCAAGAGGTGTTGAAGGACTTGTGGACTCATGAGACTAAAGACTTGGAGCGAACCTACTTCATTCGCACTCTGCAGGGCATCGCCCAGCAAAAGGGCATCCGAATGACCTTTTTGTCAGGTGGTAAGTTTTTTTTTTTTTGCCCTTTTCCATGACAATCAACACCCGATAGTTGAAGGCGGCCAGGCTAACAGAAAGCAGATGTCGCAGCTTCAGGTGCAGGCCTCGTTCACGATCCCACTCACCCCGGTGATCACAAGACCATGTATCAGATCATCTCTTCTCCCATCGTCTCAGCACCACAGGGCGGCTATATCCTGAAGCTTCTGCACAACCAAAAGACGCTCTACGTCCCAAAGAATGGACAAAAATCGACGCACGAAGTGTCCGATACCAAAGAAGACATGATGGAAATCTTTCACACTGATGCTAGCGGTGCCACTCGCGAGTTGAAGAAGTTGATGGGCCGCAGGAACTACGTCACCTTCCTGGCATATGACCAAGAAGCGGTCAATCAAGTTCCATTTAGCCCTAACCCCAGTATCAGTAGCAGCCAGCAGGGCTTGTCGAAACTCAGTCTAGCCGTGGACTTTGTTGTTCAAGGCGACGGGGCGTACACTGCAACCACCAAGTACGGACCAGTGATTATTCCCCATCTCGAGTATGGGAGGTAATATATTCCTTTGGCAATAGAAAGTGAAAATACGATGTGATGGGGGTAAACGTTTCCGATTTCGCATATATTCTTGGCTCTTATACTACTTTGAGGGGGTTATTGGATATTTGACATTCCTTAGTTATGCCAGCATGGCGTCATTCAGCGTTGAATTTACTAGACTGATTTTTTTTTTTTCTTGTCGAGCTTACAGTATTACTATATTTGTTTTGTATAAAGTAAAATAGGCAGGCAGTAATTTCCTTCACCCCCTATTTTCACACTGGTCTCGGCCGGAACCGAAATTTAAACTCTGCCCTTTTTTTTTTTTTCCGAGGCCCCGTGTTAGCACCTGGACACGTATAAACCGTCAGATGGATCCTCCGTCTGTGTTTCCATTGTTCGTCAAATCCTCGCGACCCCCGAGCGTGTCTAGAGTCCGAAAGTCTCCTTTAAGATGCGGATAGTATCGTCGGGGGACTTGACGGCATGCCCAATGGTCCTGGGATCAGAGTAAATCTCCCAATCGTTGCCGCCCTCAAACGCCTTGTCCCCGAAGAAGTGGATATTCTTGTACTCGACGCCGCCGGGCTTCTTGGCCTCGGCCTCGAGGTGCTTGAGGCAGTACGTCTTGTCCCAGCCGGTGGGGAAGACGTCAAAGGAGATCTGCCCGCCGATGGAGTAGGTCAGGTCGAGGTCGGCAAACCTGTCCTTGAGGGCCTGGACAAAGGCCCTCCTCACGCCGGCGCCCTTGTCAAAGGCCTCGAAGTCGTTCCTCTCCCGGGTGGTGGCGTTCCTCCCCACGGGCGACACGTTGATCATGCCGTTGCGGAACTCGACAAAGGTGCCGCGCTTGACGGGGATGTCGAGGTCCGCCACGTAGTGCAGGATGAAGTTGACGAGCTGCTTGTACTTGTCCTCGCCGATCCACTTGATGAAGCTGTTGGACGGCAGCTCCTGGCCCAGCTTGTACGCCGTCAGGCCGTTCTCGGCGAAGCAGAAGTCGAAGAGCGTCGTGACGGGCACGTTGCCTGCCGGCTTGCCGATTTGCTCCTGCTGCTTGTTGAGGTCGGAGCCGCCGACGAAGCCGATGGCGCATTTCTGCCGGAGGGCGGCGAGGGTGGAGAGGATCTCGGGCGATGCGTCCTTTTTGAAAGAAAAGAAAATTTCTCGTTTCAGCGCGCTGTGTGTAGATCATCTTGGTTTTCCCGGGGGAGAAGGGGGGGGGAGCTTTAGGAGTCGCGTACCAGGCGGGCGGGCGTCAGGGTCCCGTCCACGTCAAACAGGCAGATTGTGTCCTTGAGCGGACGCTCCTCGAGGGGGGGGTAGCTGGGCTTTGTAGCAGCCATGGATTTTTTGTGTTTTGGATTTCCTGGAAATCCTTCAATGGAAGCGGCGGGAGATGGACGAGTCTTGGTGAGGGCGGCGTTGCGCTGCTCAGGGAATCATGGACGTGGGGTCGAGAGGGGGAGGGGCAGAGCTGTCGAGCTATTAGTGAGGGGCGGTCAGGCAAAAGAAAGCAAGCATGGAAGGCTGGATTGGATCTGACGAGGGGGAGCAACGACGTGGGCTGCCAACAAGAGGCAAACTACGCAAAGGAGCACCTAAAACGTACTTGGGTCTGGTAGTTACAAGGAAAACCTGCCTCGCTGGGTGCACTTTTTGAGGTCAATTTGACTCGAGTTTGGCGGCATTTCTCTCAAGTTATCTTGTCCTTTTATAATTCCCTTCATCAAGCCAGCTGTTCTTTTCTTCTTTTCGCAGCCCAGCGGCCGATGGCGTCTGGGCTTGAGGACAGTTTTACATTAAAGTTGCACTAATTTCCGTCCCTGGCGACTGCGCCACCAACTGTCGTTTCCTTATTTTTAGTACGCTGCATGCGTCTCACGGAATAACTGACGTGTCTCACACTCTACTTCACAGATTTGTGACTGTTCTCGAGATTACCAAGGACCAGCCAGACACGTTTACGTTTGCAACTGTGCATCAACGAAGCCGATCCGTAGGTGGGGCTCTGATGGCACATGACAAACAACCCTGGCCCTGGTTGGTGGTGAGTCTGTGGCTCGGTTGCTCCCGAACGCAGGCACCGATCAACAAACAGGACGTCATGGGGCAAAGACAAGCTGTGCTGTGTTTTCCTATGCTGTTTGTACGACGTCGAGTAATCAATGTCAATACATAATATACGCCGAATGTATGCTGCCGTTGATGTTTCCCATCAGCTGTCCAGGAGCCCCAGATTTTCGTGTCGACAACAATCGTTCATGCTACAAGGTCCATAGGGAACCGAGAATAGAAAAAAATAAAAAATAGGAAAGGAGAATCGGAAATTCGTTTCAACGCCATGCAACTAGGGCCCCGGACCTCGCCGCCTGAAATTCATGATTCCTGCCACACCCCCGTAACTTCCACCACGACATTGGCAATTGTGCTCAATGTCCAGAGCGCAATCAACCCACATCCGATCTTGCGGCTCAATATCCATTTATTCAATGGCACGATGATTAATAGTAGCACCAGTATTATGAGAAGTGTGACGGACGAGATCATGAGCGTCGGTCCTACCTTCACACTGTAAGGGCCGTAATGGATGGGTCGCTCCGGGTGCTTGGCGTGTTTCTTGTTGGCGTTTTGGACCATCATGAGAACACCGCCGATACCAATACCAAGCAATATGTTGAGCATTGGTCCTCCGAAGCATGCAGACCTGGGCAATGTTGTGTCAGCGAGTGCTAAATAGCCTACAATATCGGGTTGACCGTCAAGTGAGTGCAACTTACAATGCCATCACTGGATACCCCAATCGCGCCACCGTGATATCAGCAACTAAATCACCCACACTGTTGCCAGCCGCAAAAATGGTCAGCCCAAGTAACGCCTCTGAGATGTTCAAAACGACGCCAAATGTCTTCAAAACCCCAACCACCTCGCCAGCAATCGTCGAGATCCATGCAATGCTAATAATGAACCCGAGGAAACAGAGAAGGAAGTGATATTTTGGCCGTTTATGATCCGATGTGCACAGAAAGAGGAACGCCAGAAGGATTAGTGACCCAAGAAGAGTGTACAAGATCATCTTCACAAGCACTTTCCCAGGGTTCGAGAAATCTTCCGCCATATTCGCCCATAGGATCATCACGGCAAAGAGCGGTCCAGTAATGAATTGTACACACACGAGCCACCGGTTCCACGTCGAGAGCTCGTCATTCGCGTTGCTAACAGATGGCATGTCGGACAGTGGCTTTGCTACCGTCTGACCATTCGTTGCCTCGACTTCTGGAGTAACCACGGTATCTTCGTTTTCGAGAGTGACGACCAATCGCGGTGAGCGATCTTCGACAGTTGCGAGGCTGTTCCTACGGCTGCGACTTAGCGAATGCCTTCGGTATCGCTCCCATTCGCCTTCCGGTTCAATGAGCTGAGGTTCCATAGGAGAAGACTGCGTCCCATGGCCCGGTTCCCGCCTACCAGAACTCTCCATGACGGTCAAGTCATCCACCGAGCTTTCGTTTGTCTCCGACTCTACAACTGGTAATGTAATTACGAGCAAAAAGATGCTTGGTACCGATATGGTGCTCAAAAACTTGTCCCATATAGTCTTCTCACCCCAGGCCTGCAAGGTCGGAAAGAGAGTGGCTAGAACAACGTCGGGTGGTGGCAGAAGCGCATATGGCCACCAGCGTATCGGCCGTCGACGTACTGTAATAGACCCTGACATGTCTGGAAAGTGACCATCTCGGTGCGGCGCTACGGGTGGCGGTAACATAAACTCCGTCCTCTCTAGATGTTGGCTAGGTGTCATAGCCGAGGGTGAATCTGTATAGCGGGGGAAAGGAGAGGATGGCGACGATCCTTCGCTATAGCTGCTGCGTCTGCTAGGTATAATCAAACGCAAACCACTGGGTTGTTTGCTATGCTCTTGGGCGCCTGAACTCGGCCTTCCAGTTTCGATAGCGCCGGAAGGTCCAACAGGAGGTGGCGCCAAGTTACCACCGACGACATATGCTGCGGAAGGAGTCGTGCTGTGAACTGGAGTAGCATGTCCAGGGCTCAGATTCGTGCTCGATTCGCTAGGAGTCTCTTCATCTTCTGAGATAGGAAGAGGGGCCGACAGTGGTGCTCTCGCACCATATGAGAAAGCTCTCTCACGACTGGAAACCCCAGGAGTTGACACAGTCTCCCAGAGCCCTGAATCCGGTACCACACTGGTTGTGCCCCTCCTCTCTCGCGCTGTTGGATGATCTGAATAGCTCCGTCCAGGAATATCTGAGAGCTGAAGGTTACTCTCTCGCTGTAGCTGGGCCAAAGCCGATCGAAATTCCAAGGCTCCAACCAAACTTGGACGGATCGGGGTCAAGTTCATTGACTTGGTTCTCCCTGTTCGCAAAACTCGCATGCTTCTTGACACCTCAGCAGCCACCATTCTTTCATGATCATCATCGCTGCCATCATCAAGGGATCCGCCCATGTCACTTTCGTGGTCTCGGTTGTCAATGTCGATCCTTGGAGCTCGCTCCAGGGCCGAAATGTCAGCCCTCGACGAACCGCTGCGAGAGTCATCCCCAACGTCGTCCTGGGGGTTTTCTGGCTCATCGCGATAAGGCTCACCAAAAAGTTCATCTCCAGTATGTCCCGCTATGCTGTAGTAATGGCTGCGTGCCTCGCCTTCACGGCGCAACCGCCACTTCCTCCTGGTCGAGTACCAATGCCAACCTACCACGGAAACGACGTAGACGGCGTAGTAACCCACCATGGCCCAGCATTCCCAGAAACGCAGTTGACCATCGGCTAGAAAAGCCATTGAAAATGCCACTGCCGCGATGAAGAAGCCGATATCTCTTACATATGTTCTTCTGTCCACACGGAATTCGCGCACGAGGGCCATGGAGCCAGCAACGACACCAGTAATAAAGCAGGCTGCGCCGATGAGCTCGCCGACGGCCATGCTAGGGCTGTTGGAGCTCATGGCGGCAAAGGTGCTGAACACGTCAGGAGAGCCATTGCCAAAGGCAAGAA